CTCTCCCTCGGCCAGGCCAACTGGACACAGAGGGAAAACTGCACTCTGGATTCCTCCCTGGGCCCCACCCTCTAGCAACGGCCTGCTCCGGCTTTGACCCCCATGGCCAAGATCTAGAGGCATTGTCCTTTCGATGTTGTCCTTTCTCTTACCTCCCCGCCCAAGTGCTCCTGGCTTCCTTTCCTAGTCCCATCTCCAGATTATCCATTTGTTTGCCTCTCCCCGACGGATACCCGAGTCAGCACCATCAGTTCTCTCATAAACGATGGAGCAGCTCCTACTTCTGCTCTTCTTGCCATGGCCGTTCATCTTCTACAAAACAGCCAGGGTTTCTACAACATCCATCAAATCATGGCGTGTCCCTGCTTAAAAGCCAATGATTCCCTTTTCTTTTTCATTTTTCTTACTAAAACCAAACTGTTTCCCTTGGTCTACATGATCTGACCTCTTCCCACTCCTTCATCTTCACCTACTGCCTTATTCTTTACCCAGAGTCATAGTCTGCAAGCTCTTTCAGACCATAAAGCTCTTTCCACCTCCAGCCCTTTGCACATCTGCTGGGACCATCTCCTGGGTGGTCCACATCCTGGCAGAGACACCTCCTGGCCCTCCTCCTTTCAGAGCCAACATAACACTCATTTCCTTGGAGAGATGCTCTATGAGCAACCTTTTGGAAGTAGGTTCCTTTGGTTAATCTCAATATCTTTCTGTCTTCCATGAAAGCAATGATAAAAATGTATAACTATTCCACTCATATTTTTAATTCTATGTGATCTGTTTTCCTCAACCACATTGTAAGATTCACAGAGTAGCAATCACATCTTCTTCATCATTGCTTTCTCACTACCTAAACAAGAATTTAGCCATTTGATGCAAGAGTGGATGAGGAAGTAAAAATGATTGACTGGATGAGTAAATAAATGAAAGAGAAGTCTCAGTAAACAATGGCAGGAAGAGGAGATGCTTAGTCATAGGAGGTTTAGGCTGAATTAAAAGCAGGAGGGGTAAAGGAAAGCCTCCACTCTGCAGACAAGTCAGGACTTTGGTGGAGAGGACTAAGAGCCTGGCTTCTACCGAGACTTCCCTCACAGCCACTGGATTCCTCTTGGCCCAGGGCAAGCGCAGGCCCAGTGTCTAGACCCTGTCTACGAAGGGAAAGCAAGAAAGCATCAACTTTCAGGCCACAATAACACACACTTCGTCCCAGTTCTCCCTGCGGGGAGGCACACAGGGGGTTCCCAGCCTCTAGCACTGCTCCTGGGTGCGCAAAACCCCTTCCGGGCCAAGCGCTCTGTGCCACACGCTTGCCCTCAGTCACATGGGCCATGTGCTGGTGGCACGGAGCTACCATTTTTCATTTTGAACAGGATGCATCTACTGGCATGACAGCCCCATGCCAAAACTTGTTAATGCCCACATCTGTATTTTAAGGGACCAGGACAGAAAAATTTGCATGTGTTTTCAATCTAAAATGACGTTTTCCTTTCTAGTGATTTAAGAAATAAAAATGACCGTGTGGTCTATGTCCACCCAATTATGAGAATTCACAGTGAAAGCTGGAACGTTCAAATGTCAAGGCCTACGCCGCACTAGGTCTCACAAGGTGACTTGGTTTGGTCCCTCACTGCCCCACCTCATAAATGTTCATCACCACGGTGCTTTTGGGGGGCCAAGGAAAGTGCTTCCATTCAATGGTCATGAAGAGTTATTTGTTCACACAAATAATCCCCACTCAAGTGGATTTTCCCAAATTAAAGTCATGGAGAATTAAATAGCTGCTTTCCCATATTTTGCAAAGCAAGACAGAAAAGGCAGTGAGGGTTCTAGGATCACCCCCCCCCCTCCCACTCAGAAGTCGGGGGCAGAGGACAGTGTTTGAATATGCATCTCGGGGAGGCCCAAGTGGGCAACAACATGCCGGAAATGTGATGCCCTGGGCTCTCTGTAGGAAAATCATGACAGTAAGCAGGCCAGAGGTCAATTCCAGCCTTCAGAAAAGAGGAGTAGAGATGAGCCAATAGGGCGGGGAATAGAGAGAATTTGGAGGTAGATTATATAGTGGGTCCACGCAGCACCGACTATGTAATTAAGAGGACCCAGTGCAAAATGAGATTGTGGGCCCCCTTGGTCAAACATTAAGAATTTCCCAGCGGTGACTGTTTCACAGCAGTGATCGTGCTGCCTCTCTGAGCTGGGGTTCTGTGGACCACATGGGTGACACGCAGATAACGCCCAGGTGGGGTGTGAGGTTGGGGTGGGGGAGGGAGGCCAGCTCTAGGGGCTGTCAGAGCTCCTTAGAAAAGCAAACTTTCCCCAGTCCACTTTGCTCTCGGAAAACAGCACCCCCAATGATCACAGTGAGAGAAATAAATCATGTCTCAGCCCAAAGTGGCAAAAAGGGGAAGGGCTGGCAGGGTGGCTACACTAATTCCGATTTGTTGTCATTTTTGGAGCTACTTTTCCTAAATTATGATTCATTTTAGCACCAAAACACCAGCTACTTCAGATACTATTATAAGTATATTGCTGATGCTTGAGCAAAGTAACGTCTTGTAATGTTTCTTTTATAAGAGCCATAAATCACAATATTCAAAACAGTGAATTTTTAATGTGCCACTATTATCCATCCTCAGCTGTAAATGTAACATCTCCTCGGGCCCCACAGATTGTAATGTGACTCAGAACGCGCAGCGGCTGTTCAAAATAGAAGGTTCCCCAGCAACTCATTACTTCAGTCCCTCAGATACAGTTTTAAAAGCCCGAAGTTATCTGAGTAAACTTGTTTAAGGGAGCCATAAAGAAAGATAAGTAGTTTTCCTCAGAAGCCTATAAAGTTTATTACAACATATTTAAGGGGGATTACATATTGACTAATTTTCCGAAGACAGTAGTTTTCTGGGGCTCAGGGCGTTGGGGGAAGGACATTCATGAGCAGAGCTAGGTCTTCCATGGGCTTTGGCACGAGTTTCCCCCTGAGGATGACAGCACAGGTCCCATCTCAGGGGATGGCAGGGTGCATGCCATGAATCTTACGAAAGAGCAATAAAAATCTTTACGATTCAGGAAAGACAGAAATGCAGCCTCAGGCCCTAACCTCTGTGATGCAGAAGCAGCCGTGTCATAGAAATGCTGCAAGAAGGACCCACACTTCTCACTCCAACCCCCCAAACTCTAGAGCCTTCCTCTGCCTACTCCATCTATGCAGATTTTTAATATTAAAAAACCGTTCCTTCCCATTTAATATTGTTTTAGGTCAATTTATTCTTTTTAATTTATGTTTTTTGTTTTTTGTTTTATTGATTCAGAGAGGAAAGGAGAAGGACACAGAGAGAGAAACATCAATGATGAGAGAGAATCATTGATTGGCTGCCTCCGGCATGGCCCCCATTGGGGATCCAGCCCAAATCCGGGCATGTGATCTGACCAGGAATGGAACCATAACCTACTGGTTCATAAGTTGACATTCAACCTCTGAGCCATGCCGGCTAAGCCAGTTTATTCTTTTATTAGCTTTTCTAGATGCGTAAATGTGATATTTCTCTTAAAATTTTCCCTAGATACAGGGAGAATTTCTCTGGTTTCACCAAGTACTCATACCAACAAGCTTCCCTTTGGAGCCACTTTGCATGGAAAAGACACAATTCTGGTACCATTCTCCCCTTCACCCAGGAAAAGGAGAAGCAAGAAAGAAGGTTCTATTGGCGGCAAAAAGATCCAGAAGGTGTTAACATCTCTATTTCCCAGAAAGCTATTGTGTCTGCCTTTCCAGCGTTTCCCGCAGGACCAGAGGAAGTGGCCTGACTCATTGGTGGGACCTAAGATAGCTTCAAAACAAGCAATGAAACACACCCATAGGCAAAACACAACAGATTTGTTTTAAAACTCACCCCAAGCCCCACTATGAAACAGGGAGCAAGACTTAAGGAAGGGACGCCTGGTAAGTAGAGGCAGAGAATTGTCTCTGTAATCACAGACCCTGTGGTGCTCCAGCCCTGTGACAGTTCATGTTTGTCCCGGAAAACAAACTAACATTCAGTACTCTTTGACCATAAAAAGATCACCATGGTACACAGCCTACCATAGTCCATGTCACCATAGGTATATGCAACTCCAGGGAGCTGTGGCTTGGTGTAAAGCAGCCTGCTGTGTTCTGGAGAGATGTGAGTCCCAGCAATAAATGTCACTAGAGTTCAATGTTCAGTTTATAACTGTGGCGATACATGCACCACCATTCCATTATAAGGCATATAGGACGGAAATAGAGGGTGGGTTCTTCACAGCTAAAAGCCAACCTTTAAAAGAGCAAAACATCCTAAAAAATGCAATGCGTGAAATTTATAATGCAAAGCTCCATAGAAGTGCAATTGTAAAGAGGCAACAGATATGGCACTAATGAGACCTGTCAACATTAATATTTCTATTCTAATTCATTCAGAGAGGTCCAGTTACCCATCCACCATTACTATGCCTTGATCCTGGTGTTCTCTTCAGAACTGCCAGAGAAGAGGTAGCACAATCCATCAAATGGGTTTCTTAAAGATGACAATTTCAGATCCATAAAAATGTATTTAATTTTGTTTTCATTATTCCTTGTCAGACATTTCACACAACCAGAGAGATGTGAGAGTCACACCACCCTGGCAGATCTGGCAAAAGCCAACAGTGCTGGAGAATTGTGACAATTTCTGAGCCCATGGCCATGCTTTTAAAAGGTGTGTATGGATTCTAGCAAAGGCAGAGTTTACATCTTAAATAACACAGAAACATTGGAATCGTGCTTGACCCAGCCCCATCAAGGCAGAGCAATCACGTGGTTTCAGGGTGGCAGGGGGTGAGGGTGGGGTGGGTAGAAAGGAGAGGGCTCTCAGGGATGGTCACAGAACACAGAAGCAAACACAGGGCATGGTCACAGACATCAGCAAGCATGATCAATCACGCACACAACACAACACCAGAATGCAATCTTTTAAAGAAAAACAATATAAAAGATGGTTTCTCACCCCTCAAACAAAACTGGAACTTTGGTTTACAGGCCCGGCTATGCCCATATGCCCTCCTCGTCATCCTGCGGCCGGCCCGGGGAGGTGCACGGAGAGGGGGGGAGCACGGAATGAAAGAAGAGAAGGTTAGTTACACCGTGATGCCCTGGAAAAGCACACCAATCTTCACTTTACTTTTTTACCTGAAAGCACCAGGAAAAAAAAGAAGAAAAAAAAAGAAAACACCCCATAGTAACTTTAGTTCCACATCACCGACTTGTCAAATACATAACTCAGTTTTGTATCTATGGCAACCCCCCACAAAAACATTCCGCCCACCCAGCTCTGACTCTGTGTCAAGATTGGATTAGGAGATTAAAATTAGTCTACATTAGCAGGTGATTATTTTTTGGGAAGGCACACCATCGGAATTGCATATGCCTAAGAAGCAGATTAAACCTGTTAAGTAATCAGAGAAGTAATTACAGGCATCAAATACCCTTAATTTCTCCTAAGCATAAAGTATCAATAAAGGCTGGAGAAGAATTTTTTATTTAAAGGATCTACTTGGGTGGAACCACTTTGGTAGCATGTGATAGTTCACACTGGCTCAGACCTGCTGGGGACTCCGTTCCTCAGGTTCTGTTTTGCTCTCAGCATGAAAGAGGATGTACACGCCACGGAATGATGATCCATTTGCAACCAAATAAGTTTCAAAGAGAAGAGTATGCTTCCAATTCAGCACAATGCTTACGGAAAGGCAATGGTATTTAACTCAAAACTGTATTCAACTGTGGATGAATGGAAACTTATTTGGTCTGAATTCTTGTTGTTGAAAACATTTCCAGGATGGCTCTGGCCACTTTCCCCACTTAGTGAAGTGGCAGATAGGCAGGGGAGTTTCATCTTTGAAGACAGAAGTGTATTCACAATAAGACCAGCATCACAAGCTCTATTTTGAACAAGAGTGTTCTCTGAAATTTCCCTACAGCAGTAACTGCCGGGCTCAAGGATTGAGAGTGTAGACGACCCAGTGGTTAAACTCCTGTCCTGCATGTACTTTGGGGAGCTGTGTCTTTTAACAGGTCCCTGATGAAACCAGGTTTTGCCAGGGCATGCTTCTTGGTTTTAAAACCCAGGACTAGGGGAAAAAAATAATTTGGAATATTTTCTCACTATTTGGAAACTTACTGCGTTGAATCACATGAAAATGCCAATATTTGGCCATTTCTGATCTAGAAAAACAGCAATTTCATACAGTTCAATCTAACCTTGCCAATAGGCAAAGGTATTGTGCATCTATTAAAATATTTAAATCTGTGGTCTTGAACTGAATTTAATATAATTTATGTCCTCTGTATTTCTTATTTTATTTTATGTATTTCAAAATATTACTTGAAGAAGAGGTCCAGAGAGTTCACCAGATTGCCAAAATGGTCAATGGACCATAAAGGGTTAAGAATCCCCACCTGATATGAGTCTATTAGGAGATTTGCACTCAGTCAGAACAGCATAATTTGGTATGGATTTGCACTGGACAATTTAGATAGGAATATTCTGGTAAAAAAAAAAAAAAAAAAGGTATAGTTGATAATTTTTGGCTGGATCTTCTCATGTAAAATTGACCTTGCTTGTCACTGTGCAGTCTAATAACTCTTGACCAAAAAAATTCCCTTTTTTCTACATAACTTGAGAAAAGTGTGTTTTTACATTAATTAAATGTTCTTTCAGTTCCTGGGGAAATGCAAAGTCCAGCTCCCTTTTTTATGCTAATGAAGAAGGGAAACTATACAGCACCTACAAATGGGTTGCCAGGGGTCTAGCAACCCCTTGAACTTCACTGCAGAACCTGTGGGGATGTGTGGAAGTGTAGTTCCCTGGATGGAGGCTTTCATCACAAGGTTCCTGAGTCCAGGTGTTACTGCTATAGGGAAATTTCAGGCCCAAAGAGATGCAGCCATTTGCCAAAGTCAGAAAAAGCCACGCTTTCCCTCTAAGGCAGCCTGCAGCCTCTCCTGAAGGCTCCTCAAAGACTCTACATCATTCTCCTTGCAGAGCAGTTCATTTCATTTTGCATTTAAAATCCAAGAGCATGTATACATTCAGTTTGTTTCAAATCCATCCCCACAAGGTTTCAAATTTTTTTAAAAAAGAAGAAAAGAATAAAAGAGGAAAGCCACTGTCACCAAAATCGACCGCTATTTTCTTAACAGTGAAATGTGGTCGAATGCAAATCACTTTTAGCAAATTAAATACATTAAAAAGTGGTAATTAATTATGATTGAATGAGACAGGAGTTGTAGCTTGAAAATATACACTGCCAATATCACTACTGTGCCTCGTCCACCGTAGGGATAAAAAGGAGCTCCCAGATGTCGAGGGTTATTAAAAACCAGATGTTGAGATCGACGTCTTGTACGCCGGTGAATAAAGTAAAGAAATATGACAGTCCAATATAAACTTTGCTAACATTTAACATGGCAGAAATGTGGATAAATTCCTTTACTGAACTTGCAATATTATGCTTTTTTTCCCCCCTCAAGTTTTTAGCGTCTAAGGTTTAAAGTTTTTTTTTTTTTAAAGAAAATACAAAGGGAAGCAGTGGCCATTTCTGCTCTCTCTAATCTTCAAAGCTTCAACGTGAATTGACCCTAATCACCGAGTCATCTGGGTCAGAGCGAGTGTCTGCTCGGGGAATAAAAAAGAAAACGCAGGAGCTAATCAGAGAGGAAGCACCAAGGGGTTCCAAATGCTCGCAGCTGTTAGACTCCTGCACGGCCTGCATCTCGGGATGAAATATTAATTCGCTCAGCAACCTTACGGTACAGAAATGTAAATTCAGGGACCAAAAATAAGAAACAGATAGGTATCGCTTGATCGCTAACTTTATGCCCAGTTGTCTAGCAGCACTTGGGGTTTTAAAGCGTTGCCCCAGGAGAGTCTGTCCCCTCTCCTCGCACTGGTTGCTCCAGATGCTGCCTGTGTCTGCTCTCTTGTGTGTCCTTCCTGAGTGACGGCTATGGCAGGAGCTGCCAGAGTTTCCGGATGGAAAGAGAGTCTCTAGTCCATCAGTCATCCAAGCGCCTTTGTCCACAGCATCTGGGATGGAAACATCCAAGGTGGGTGGGAGCCCAGATCGCAGTGACCACACAACAGCAAATTTTGAAGGGAGAGGAAGCTTAACTATCAAATAACCTCCGGATGTGTATCTATGGCTCCAGAGGTGAAATGAGGCCTTGATGGCCATCCTGCAGTCCCAAACGCTGGGCCCTAAAGGGATTCTCTAAATTCTGAGATAAAACAAAATTCCTCACCAGATGGGCCACTCAAGATCTAAGGGCAAAGGACTGAGTCATCGCTGACAGGACAGGAGACTCACCATTATGGGGAGCATTTATTAGCCCCAGAAAAAAGAAAGAAAGAAAGAAAGAAAAAAAAAGCTTGGGAAGGAACTCTGTAATCTGGCATGATGAACAGCCTGGTGTAAACCTTTAAATGGTATCTATTTTGAAGCTTTAGGTGCAACCAGCAGGCAAGCACCAGCCATCACTGGATATTTCAAAAAACAAAAAACAAAAAAACCACAAAGACCCAAATAAACAAACCCTGGCAATCCTTTTTGACTTGATAGCCAGCCTTTTTTCCCCCTGAAATCAGAGGATGATGTTCCTGTTGGGGACCTTACTGTGTCACAACTGTTCTATCTGGAAATGAGAGTGAAATTATGGCAGTATCAGCCCACTGCTCCTCTGAGAAGTCAGCCACTATTTCTGTCAGGAGGAGATGGGAAGAGATGCAAGGAGAGTGTCCTGGTTGTAACAGGGACAGTCACTAGGCCCGCCCCTACCCCCAGTTCAATTCAGGGCTTCTCTGACATTTCCTGAAAATGAAAAAACCCAGGTCTCGGCAGACTTCAGCTGCATGAGTCATGAAAGCAGGACCATGGTGAGGGATTTATGCTGTGTCCTGCACCTGGGTAGGACCAACCCCTCATGGCATATCCAACTAAAGGTGTGGCCAGAGCTGGGGAAGACAGGTGCATGTGAAAAGGGAAACAGGAGTCCTGGGACTCTTCAGGGCACTAGTAAGTTTTCCCTTAGGGTCAAGTTCAAACCTTCCCTTTGAAGACCTCCCATTTATGTCTGCTACCTCTCCTGCCTCCTAGAATGCCTAGCCCTTGGATGGGTGCCTTTGTTCAGGTGATGAGGTCAGGAATGGCCATGACCTCTTACAGGATTTGTATTTATTACAGCGTCTGGGGCCCATTTGCAGACAAAGTTCCCCCAAATAATAGGAAAATCCCTTCCAGGTTTAAATACCTGATGGATGTTCTGTTGAAATATAACTGTTACCTTATCTCTGACCTGGACTAGAAATGAGCCAGCAGGTATCAGAACCTGATCCAGGTTAGAGGCCTTGTGAGAGCTTTCTGTGCTGCTTCCCTGAGTCTCACTGCAGCCCAAGGGCAGGCTCTCCGTACAAACATGGAAAGGAAGGCTCAGGAAGAAAGTTCTGGTAGCTTGTGACCAGACACCTGGAGCTGTGGAGCCAGGGTCAGATGCCAGTCTGTCTGACCACAAAGGTCTACCCTCTCTTAGATGGGGGCTGTGAAGATTGAGAAAGAAGAACTCATTTTGACCTCGGCCATTTGCTGGTTCTCTGGGCTCAGCTCTCAAGTACTTCGTGCTCTGTAGGTTTCTCTCCAAGCTGTGGAAGGTTCGGTTGGAATTGGACACTAGGACTTAGGGTGGGTCCCTCTGGCTCTTGGAAGAAAGGGCACATGACTGCTTAAATGGGCATGTCATTTAAGCATCCAGAGGTGCTTCCTCAATTTTTGGACCATCTTTATGGGGCAACTGAGTTTTCTATTTCCTTCAAGCAAAGCTATTCTGACAAACCAGGGTTTGGTGCACGGTGCCAGCTCCCTCAGGTGAAAGATAGCAGAGGCCCAGCTGAGGTGAGAAGGCCAGAGGGTTCTATGTTGGCCAACAATACCATTCCAGAGCCCAAAGTCAATATCTGCTCCACGCTAAGCCACTGCCAGCTAGTCATAAAGAGGGGTAGCGGTGGACACAGGCTTTACTTT